ATGAGGAAAGACTAAAGAAATTAGGACTTTTCACACTCAGTTACCGTAGGCACAGGGGAGACCTCATCACCGTCTACAAGATCCTAAATGACCAGGCCCACCCAAATAAAAGCATCCTGCCATTAAGCGATTATAGGCTTCCACGAGGTAACCCGCTAAGGATAGCACACCAGAGACCAAAGACTCGAGTGCGTTCACATTTCTTTTCGCTCCGTGTTTGCCTTCTCTGGAACGCTTTACCGGCGGCCGTGACTACAGCGCCATCTGTGGAGATTTTTAAGCGGAAGCTAGACAATCATGCAGAAATGTAAGGTTTGTGTCTCAATGGCTTATCCTCATAAAATTTGAAACCACACTGTCAATGGATAGGCGTACAAACTAAATCTCCACGACCTATTTTGCCTTCTCTCACTCTTTCTTTTCCTTAGGTCACCTTTATTATTCCATTTATCTCAACCTATATTATCTACACTACAACCTGTTATTATTATTATGATTATTACTATTCTGCTTTATGACTATACCGAATGACCAACGGGAGTTAGGTCAAACTCCATTCATGGCAGCAATACAGTCCTAACATACTGCATACTACAAACCACATCTCGACCAATCCCCGCACCACTCCTCCTGGAGTCTACCAGAGCTAAAGCAGTCGAGTGTCGGGACTTACTACGCAGAAGCTCACCGAAGATCTGGAACCTCTACCTCACAATCAAGAAGCGAGCTCAAAGAAATCACTGGTTTATACTAGCTCGTAATCAGGATATTGGATATTGGATACAGATATTTGGCGCTAATTTGTTCATGGTGTCATAAAGTACTTTAGCTTTTGGATACATTCAGCGTGCCTTTATTCATTTCTTTACGTTTTAAATAAACCTTTTGACTTTAAGGATGGCTAAAGGTGTCTGTGTACTCGTACATAGAGCTTTGAGACAATTTAAATTGTCTAGGAAATGTCATAATGTTGATTTATAGAGTTGGTTTGTCAGTGTCTAATTTTTTTTTTGATTTACAGCTTGATTCCATACTGTATTTTTGGTACAAGTATGGAATTTTCAGCATGGATATCGGTAGTCCAAATTTTGCAGGCCGACCATAGATATCAGGTGTGCGTCGGCGTGGGCTCGAACCCCGGACCATGTGCATGGTCGGCGAGAGTCCTAACCACTGTGCCACCGACGCACAGGTTACTGTTATGTTGCATCTTCCTTTCTTTCCGATCTGTAGACAGTTGAGACGTAAGCGGAGATTATGAAAAGACATCGACGGGTGTAACTCAGTTCTTTCTTCTAACGGATTAGTCCAGACGGACAGTAATTAACCACAATTGCGTCTTGTATGTGTGTCTCCGAAACGCGACACACGTCCATGGCTCAACATACCGCAGTTGTGGTTAGTGATGCTTATTATCCTATTTGGAAAAGCGTGCTGACATTAAATGCCTCAATATAAAGTTATCAGCGTGGGTTTTAGCGGCTGTTGGTAGTGCTTTTCCGGTTCTTGTCGTTATCATTGATCAGAGAGTGAAAAGAAGGTTGGGAATAGTATTAGCAGTAGGTGGGAAGCAAGATGAGGGTGATGTAGATAAAGACAGGTGATGATCAGCTGAGTTTCGTGTGCCTTTGAAAGTGTATAGACGGTCGTTACTTCCCAGATGTAATTTTAGTTTCGTTTCTCAAAATCTTTTATCTGTATTGCGTAGTTAGTGTATTATTTTAAAAGTTAAGGGTGTGGTTATTGTATTGCTAGAAGTACATCACTGGTTCTATTAGAAAAACAAGAGAGGAGCGATTATGTTTATTCAGGTGTTGGTTTGTAGAGATTTGATTGTTTTCAGGATTTCACCGTGAACTGACATCGGTCAGAGGATCATTGGAAAGCCTGGGAGTACTGGATAGCTGTTCCGTCCAGTTTAAGACTCTTTATCATTACTTACTCACTGAAGTTCATAGTATTTCAGCCCTTCACGTTCGAAAGGGGACATGGGGCTTCACGCATGAGCTTTGAATTTTCTGTAGTGGTGGTACCTTTGTTTATGGGTTGGGGTTGCTAGCCTAATGCCCTACTTTCTGTCTTCACCGAGCTTACTACTGGCCAAGCGAGGTTTAGGATTGCTGTCAACGAACCATTTGTGTGATTTGAAATTCTACTACTATTAAACTGGCGACACACAATTTGTTAAATGTATGCTACCTAGTGGTAGCTCATTAATTTTGACTTCATTTGGATTATTCATAGTCACAAATGTCACAAATTGAATGCACTGAAAAGAAAAGGTTTACGGTCATTATTTGTGAGTTGAATATCAGTAATGAATACCATTTCATTGGAGTTAATATCTGCGTATACATTTGTGACTAGGAAGTATATTTTATGAAATATTTTTTGAGTTATAGAATGTGAATAATAGCTGCGTTTCATATTTATGCACTGAAGAAAATTTCTCGTTGCATTTCGTGCTACTTAATTATGTCTTCAGTAGCGTAAATTTAGTTTTGTAAGTTTTTAGGGTACACTCAATTCCAGTTGACTTCATGACATGTCAACAAGAATAGCCTCAGGAAATGTGAGTAAACGAATTTACCTCTTCCACTCACCTATATAACTTCGTTTCAAATTGCAAGCGGTCGACATGAATGAGGTTACCAAAGGTAACAAGGATAGGTCCGGAAAAGTAAGTATTCGTTACTTTGAAATCAGTGTAGAAGTCTACTTCATTCAGCATGAAGAACAACAATCGAATTTTAAACACTAATATCAAGTCACTCATTATTCTATATGACCCAGAGACTTGGCGCATACTTCGTAAAAGTTATTTCCAACAACCTACTGCAGAGTTCCATAAAAAGTTGCCTTCCCTCGATACTGAAGATCTGCTGGTCGAGCAGAAAGGATAAGCAGCAACAAGGAATTCTAGCAGTAAACCAACCAATAAATTATCCCCCAACAAGTATCCAGAAGTAAATGGAGATAAATTGTGCATACGCTGGGAAGACCGTTGAGTAACACCATGCACCTGGCGCTTGAGTGGACCCAGAATGGAAAGCGACAAGTTGGCATGGAGGAGATTAGGAATGGAAGCCTATGAGCAATCGTAGGACCAGATAAAAAGGACTTCCGAGAACAGGAAATGAAAAAGACTGGGAAGAAACAACTGTCTAGTTCTTCCAGATTTTCCAACGGTTGTCTGTTTGATATCAAGTCGTGATCAAACTTGTAATCATTTATTTCCTTAAAAAAGTATAACGGCGTTATTACAAAAGAGACATACCATGTGAGCACTTCCCAGGAGTCCCAAAAGAAGTAGCACTAAGTGACACAGGCTCGGATCTCATTGGAGCATCAGTTCCTCTGAGGTTGCAGATACTTCTTGCTGACAATCGCTCATAAGCACGAAATCTAGGTATATAGCTTCCTATTGATTGTTTTCAGTCACCTTATGTCAATTTGATGTGACAGGTAATGACAAGCTTTCAAGGTTCCCTGTATGTATCTTAATAATATGGTATTTTATGGTGTTACATTTTGTTTCTTAAATGGCTCGGAAGAGCATCATAGATTCAGCATAACATTTACTTCGGAATAAAAGTTTGCATATGTGTATTAAAATTCAGACCAACTGTTTATATATCAGTTCTTTTTTTACATATAATGTAGATTGTCGCATAGTATTGTTGTCCTTTAAGACAGTGAGTACAACTCATTACCTTGTACATAGGTTCATACGGTTCCAACAGCACATCGTTATTTCATCTTGTTCTCTTCAATCTTCCCTATTGCTGCGCGACTGCTCACGACCGTTCATTTCGGTCTCTCACGATCTTGTCCATCTCATTGTCAGACCAATGCTGAACTCGTCGTTTACCATTCATTCGCGTTCCACTCTTGGGTCTTGCGTGTGTTGTCATCTGAAAGTCTCATAAGCATACGTCCAATCCATCTCCATTCTTTTCCACATATTTCCATATGGTTTGTTTGTTTGTTTCCCGAGTTTCCTGTTGATTATCCTTTCCGACCGACCCTCTGACCTTCAGTATTGAGGAAGGAAGTTATTGATAAAAGTTTGGAGTGACGTCTTGGAAATGCTTTTCATGACGCATCAATTGTGTGAACTATAGAAAGGACTGATTTGGTATTAGTGTTAAACATTGAGACGCTGTTCTGTATGCTGAGTGAAGTAGATTTCCACACTGATTTCCGAATCATGAAGGCTTACCTTGCCTTGCCGAACCAATCCATACTGGCTTTCATATCGTCATCCGTGTCGACTGCTATGTAGTTGAAACGGTGCTGCCTAGAGAAGTGTAAAAGGCAACATCTTATAGATTTATGCCGTTGATGGTCAATTTTGCTTGTTGTTACTGCTGTTGGTTAGGTATCTCTACCATCTACCTATGTCTTCTCTATGCTCATTTGATTTCACGTCTTCATTACCTATTCTGTCAACTTATTGATTTTCTGCTGCACCCTACTGGTCACGACTTCTCACTAGGACCCCATGTAACTACCTACCTATCTGAAAAGGGCCAGTCACTAGTGAGCATCTCATTGGTATTCAGGTAGGGATTTGACTGAATGGTTATAGGATTTCATCATGAGCTGACATCAGCTACAGAACCATTAGGAAACCTGGGAGTACCAGACAGCTGTTTTTTACTAGTTGGGACTTTTCAGCAGTATGCACTCACACCCAGTTCCGGTGGCTTAATGGTTACGAGCTAGCTCGCCTTACAACAAGAAGGTCCTGGGTTTGATCCCCGGCGGGTGAGTACTGTGAAGAGTCCAAAACTGAGACGAAACATATATCCAGTACTCCCTGTAGGTTTTACAATGGTTCTCTAACTGATATCAGCTCATGATGAAATCCAGTAACCAATTAATCAAATCCCTACAGATGAATACTTAAATATTATTAATTTTTGTCTGTAGATCCTCAAGTTTGAATAATAGTAATAATAATGTGTATAACAACAATTTATGTTTTCTTTTTCTTAGATATAGTAGCTGTTTTATGTCCACATGGACCTTTAAGAATGTTAGTTGAAATGGCACATGAACGTCAACAACCGTTATTTCCTGCTCTCCTTTATTCAACAACAGCTATGTATCTTGTGAAAAAATGTCAATCAATGAGTATAAGTGAAAATAATCAATCACCTGAGGAAGAGTTGACTAACACACTTTCTAATGAGGGTATAGTCAATGAAGCATCAAATCTAGACGGTTCTGTTATACAACCTTGTCCAACAACTTCAGAATCTATAATCTCAGGTAAATGTGTAGGATAACTGTCAATGAGAGTGTGTTATATATGTGATAAGTTCAGAGTTACAGCAAACTACAGATTTACTGAAATATTATCAGACCGATACTGACATAGAATGCAATAAAGATAAATTACTTATGATGACCAAATTCAACTGCTTCTATGGAGTTAGGTGTATAAGTTGTACTCAGTGAAATTTATCTTTACACATTCGTGAACACTGATTCAGTTTGGCTTGGAAAAGAAGTAACCATAAATCAATAAGTAGTGCTATTTTATCTCATCTAGTGGATAGTGATGAGTCATTTACAGTTATGTGTTGTGTATCAAACTGTCTGCCTAAAGATACACAATTACGTCTCCTAGCTTTGGATTTACACTAAAAATTCTGCTTTGTTGACTACTCTTCGGTTAGACATATGTACATCTATAAGGTTGTAAGCCAAGATTGTGTTTAAAGCTAATGAACTATTTAAGCGTGTTTCAAAACTGAGTACGATTCACAGGTATGACTTGATTGTTTTAATGGTTGAATGTGTCATGTCCAATGAAGTATATTGCTTCCCAGTTGTCAATATTCCAAGCTATATACCACATAGCTATTGTTAGCTATTGTGTTGAGGACTGAAGATATTACCCACTTGACTGACTGACTGGTTTCAACGTAGAACTTTACATCAATGTGCAGCAGTTCGAGTCGCCACACTGCATGTAACACAAAGCAAGAGAAGAAAGTAGAAGAAATGCAAAATAGAGACAGTAAACAGGGATATGACACAAAAGGAATAGTAATAACGAAGAACAGCATAGTTTCATTGGAAGTTATAAGTCATAAGAAGTGGATGCATCTGCATCGGCCAGCCATTGAGAACGATTTTGAGCCATGTCACCAATTGTTTCCAACCATTGGTTTTTACCGTCCCGAGGACCCCAACCAGTAAGGAAGTCTACACCTTCCTACTTGGCTTAGACCAACTGTTGTAGATTTCATTGACTGGTACCATGTTTTGGTTTGACCACCGCCAGCTCTTCTCCAGTCTGACTCTATATCAGCTAACATTGCTCGTCGAGGAAGGCGATGACTAGGCATACGTAACACATGTCCTAGCCATCTTAATCGATGAAGCTTCACAGCCTCGTCGACTAATTCCCCCTCCTTACCTAGCACTTGACGCCTAACCGCAATATTGCTCACCCTACTATACCACTTCACACCGCAGATAGAACGCAGACGCATATTATCAAAGATAGCTAACCTTTTCATACCATGTCTCACAGCCAACCATAAAGGAGAACGCAGCGGACTGCTGAGCAGTACATACGTCCTTTGTTCGATAGCCGGATATCACGTGTACGCCAGAGACGGCGTAAACTGGCTTATGCGAAACTAGCTTTCTGTATCCGTGCTGAGATTTCGTCAGCAATCAACCCGCTGGCGTTGGCTGATGCAGCTTCCCAAATAGGTGAAGTGGTCAACACGCTCCAACAACCACTTCACTCCTTATTTCTAAACTAGAAGTCAGTGTAGTCCAACCCTGTAACATCATCTAACATTTGGTGGGAGCGAATCTCGTGCCAAACATTCGCAGGTTGCAGTCCAAGACCCTGCATTTTGTCAACGTCTTCACCTAGGAGGCAGGACTATATCATCTGCATATTCTAAGTCAACGAGAGTATGTCCAGGCTGAAGTAGGTGGACTGAGATTTGAAGTCGGTACACCTAGTGGCTGAATTTCTAAGCCAATTAGCCAATAATGAGTGAATATTGAGTAGACAAATGGCATTCTAAGTATTTGTTTGCTACACCATCTTTGCTACTGTTATTATTATTATCATCGTTCACTCTTCACCCTTTTAAGGTGATCAACAAATGACAGTGAATCGAAGAAACTCTACACACAGACACAATAATGAAGTAAGTCAGTATTCTGCTCCATTTCTCTGTTTGTTTATTTCATTTTACAGCTTTCCAATAGCTGTGAATTAAATAAATATTTAAAACTTCTCTTATTTTACTGTTTCGTTGGTTGTATTTGTCTAATTTAATTTCATCTTAGGAAGTATAATGTCAATAGTTTCTAAAGACTTCATGCAATTCTCCCGATTAATAAACTTAAGCAAAGCAAGAACAAGAATTGTACCAGGATAATATGAGCTCATCTTTTATTATTTCATGGATTCTTCTCAACTGGTTATAACCTGAACGATGAAAAAATATGAATTACATTAAAGATTTAAACATACTTTTCCACGATCACGAGGAGTAATTGGTAGGAATTAAAAGTAACATTAGTTCGGAATGCTTTAACTGATTAGGAGTTACAAACACTGACTATTAATAGAATAATTAGACAAATAGGCTTGGAAACAAAAAACAGGGTTGCGTATATATGTGTGTATAGGAACAAGGTTTATTCAGAAAGAGCATAACAAAAAAGCAGATTACGTAATTGCTTCAGCAAAGCGTAGCAATTTCCATCAAACGACTTAAACCAAATCTATGTACACAGAAAGAGACAGTAGTGAATCTTGCACTACCCTGGTGATAAAAAAAATATAAACTTTCATGAGTCACCTTTTTCTTGTTTAGAGAACTTTACTCTCATCTAAACATGATTCACCCTACCTTGTGTCTTTTCTTTCCTTTTTTCTATTGGCTATTAGATAAGACGTTTTCTTTAGTTACGTAATCTATTTTTTTGTTATGCTCTTTCTGAATAAACCTTGTTCCTATACACACATATATACGCAACCCTGTTTTTTGTTTCCAAGCCTATTTGTCTAATTATTCTATTAATAGTCAGTGTTTGTAACTCCTAATCAGTTAAAGCATTCCGAACTAATGTTACTTTTAATTCCTACCAATTACTCCTCGTGATCGTGGAAAAGTGTTTAAATCTTTAATGTAATTCATATTTTTTCATCGTTCAGGTTATAACCAGTTGAGAAGAATCCATGAAATAATAAAAGATGAGCTCATATTATCCTGGTACAATTCTTGTTCTTGCTTTGTTCAAGTTTCTAAAGAGTTTGTAAATAAAGTCGGAGAATATTTCAAATTATACGGGAAGGTGTGTTTACAAGAAAAGAAATAATCAGTCACTTAACCCTTTTCATGTAAACGATTTAAAGTGTCATGAGTCAAGCCCTTTGTTTGCATGACACTTGTCGCTGTTGATGAATACTGAATGCGCAAATTATAGTTTGTTTATTCGAACTGATTTCCATCTAACGGGAAACAACAGTTGCAGCCGTTGCCTAATTGTATACTGGTTGGTAGAAGACTTGAGAAAAACGATCAAAAGTATTATTGTGATTTATGATGACATTCATTCACAGACTTTGTGTTGTGTAACCCTGTTGTTCTGGTTCATTGTCAGCGAAGAAATTAACACTCCCGCCATATTGTCATTCCGTTTTCTGATATTCTCACCTCGGTTACTTCACATAGTATTCTGAAGCACTGATGATTAGTTTTCTAGAATCAGTGATAGGTGGTTCAACATCTTTCTTAATCCGATGTCCAATCAAAGCATGCTTCGCTTTTTTCTTACTTTGAAGATACACTTTGGGTAGGCATATGTCGCCCACGTGACTTAATCGGCTATGGTTTACAAGTAAGTGCATCTCAGACGGGATGCCTTACCATTATGTTAGTGACATTGTTGTTCTACCGAACATAGGTTGTCAAATATTCAGATCGCTGAGGTTCTGGACCTATCGCTTGTTTGAGAAAATTAAGCTTAATACGTAGAACACTATGCACTGTAACCGACGCTCAGCAGCAGAAAACGTGTGGGTAACACGATTATTTATTCTTCAAGCGGTAAGGAAACAGATTTACAGTGGTTAATAAGTGCTAAGTCTGTAAATGTACAAAAGTACCTCTGATCGTATTTCTCCAATCTCCTGCCAAGCAGTACACAATTAAGCGATGACAACAGTCTTCTTATCTCCCGCCAAGTGGAGACCAGTTCGAATAAACAAACTATTCAATGTTCACCAACATTGACAGAGGTAACTTGTCAGTAATGGGGGTATAATAGTTATTCATAAATTTAGGCTATAAATAGCATCAACAATAAATCTTCAAAATTTGTCCAACATCCTTTATAATTGATAATATAAATGGGGTGGAAAAAAACATCATGAAGGAATTGTACAATCTTCTGGGAGATATAAAACTCTTTATCATATATGTGTATGCACAATATATTGACTTTGGCGTCTTTTTCATATTTCGTAAACAAATTACACCCTGCACCTGTTCTGATTTTATTTAAGCTAAATAAAAACTTTGGAAATTATGTTGCGTTGTGTTGTCCCGTGTTATTACTACACGATTTTCATTTTTGCGAAGTTTTTCTCCTCCACTTGATTAAACAACATACCAACTTTTTTCATGATCATGCTTCTTTTGCTTGCAAGAATAATAAATTTTCACTGGGTAGACTGTTGGGGGTATGCTTTATTGCCTTAAGGGCTCGACTTTCAACTGATGGGTCCCGGGTTCGAATCCCACCCTGCCTATTTCAGCCTTGACAGTAGAGATTAGTATCATCAGACCTCACATGATAATTGTTTGATGCATGATCTAAAAGGTAAAATATCCTTTCCGGTTAACGAAATCTTTTGCGACGAGGATCTGAAGAATCTGCAGTCCTGAATCGGTATATATGAGTATATATGAGGCCGATAACTACTACTTTGTCGTGGTGGTCGGGCTTGAATACCGCAATGACCCAACAAGCTGAACTGACTGGGACTCTGTCTCTACAGGTCCTACCATGTCAGGAAGGTTGTTTGGATAGCGGTTAAACTAAAAGCAGTTACCATGGGGTACATGGGCTTTAGTATCCAATCGGATCGAATGACGTAAGAACCGATATGGGTCGCCGGCAACCATGGGAATGCAGCTCCTGACGCTGCTCCGCTGCCTTGCGGATCAGACTCCAAGTCAAAGGCTCGGGGGGTGGTCCCTTAATAAAACCACCTGCTTCGGTCTGGGCGCCTGGGCAGTATCTCAGCCCGCACACAATGAATGAATGAATGAATTAAAGCAACGAACTCTCACTGAAACTCAACGCGCGCTAGTAAAAATAATTTCAAGCAATAATGATCCCTCAAGCAACTCATTTCCTTCCTACCTTACTTTTACTTTTATACATAGTTTCCTGTATTTTACCTTTGCTAACCTTAGCTTTTTAACCTTCGACAGCCTTTCGCCTTTGTTGAGATTCCCAGCCTATCCGTGTCGTTTCGAGATGTTAGTGAGTAGTCCTCAAAATGGTTGTTCCCAATGTGACATCTAACACAGATATCCTGAAACCGCGTGCCGCGTTCAAGCTGGTTACCTACAATGTTCGGACGCTGATGCAAATCGGACAACAGGCAGGGTTGGCAAGAACTTTGGAAAGCCTCGCTATCGATGTCTGCTGCATTTCGGAGACCCGCATTCAAGATCCCAGTGAAGTGCTTCGACTATCCTCTCCATCTGGAAGTTCTAGTAGTATGTACCACCTGCGCTTATCCGGGGACCCTGTGGCGTCGGCATCCGGCGTAGCTGGTGTCGGTGTCGCACTGAGCGCTAGAGCCGAAGCTGCACTGCTCGACTGGATTCCCATTAACAGTCGTTTATGTGCTGTGAGGCTGGAAGGTTATACGAAAGTAAGGAGTAGTAGGCCAGATAGGCGGTGTCTATTTGTTGTCTCTGCCTATGCACCGACGGATTGCAGCCCGGATGCAATGAAGGATGAGTTTTACTACCAACTGAGCGATCTCTTGAAACAGGCGGGTCGGAGGGATATCGTAGTGCTGGCTGGGGACTTGAATGCACAGGTCGGGCGTCTAAGCTCAGAGGAGAATCGTCTAGGTGGTCAGTGGGGACTATATGGTCGCAGGTCAGATAATGGGGACCGTCTTCTGCAGCTTTGTGCGGATCACAACCTATTTCTAGCCAGCACCAACTTCCGGCACAGCCATCGCCGTAGCGCTACCTGGCGTCCTACCTCTGCGAAGCAAGCTTGGACTCAGATTGATCATATTGCGGTCAGTTTCCGGTGGCGAGGATGCATACAAGACTGTCGCTCCTTCTGGAGCACATGCCTGGACTCCGATCATGCGTTAGTGTGTGCCAAGTTCGTCTTGCGATTTGGTGGGGTTCGTAAAAGCCGTCGTCTAAGCGTTGATGTGAGCAAACTAGTAGCACCTGCTACTTCTTTGAAATATCAGAATGAGTTAAAAACAATGCTTGCCAGCAACCCCCCAAGTAGTATAGATGAACATTGGCTTCATGTGCAAGGTGCCATGCAAAAGGCGAGTGTAGCCGCTTGCGGCTTGAAAGAATGCTCCGCTAACAACCACTGGGTTTCTGCGAGTTCCTTGCAACTCCTGGATGAACGCCGGTCCATTCCGGCTGGCAGCGAATACAACAATCAGCGAAAGGCGCTCACGCGCAAGATTAGACAGTGTTTACGTAAGGACCGCGAAGCCTGGTGGTCAGAACGTGCGTGTGAGATGGAGTCAGCTGCTGCATCTGGCAACAGTCGGAAGCTGTTCCAACTCATCCGAGCCACCGGTGGCAAGAAACAAGGTGTCAGCGAGACGGTCTGTGAGGCAGATGGCACGCCAATTACCAGCCTGAAAAGACGCCTGGAACGCTGGGCAGAGCACTTCGGGAAGCAGTTTAGCTGGCCACCAGCTTCAGTGTCTACTATCATTAGCCCGAGTGCTCCTTGGTCGGTTAGTAACGACCCACCCACCGAAGCGGAGGTCCGTAAGGAACTCCAAGTACTGAAACGCCATAAGGCGCCCGGCCCAGACAAATTACCCCCGGCTCTTTTTAAAGATGGTGGCGAGACTTTCACAATGGCTCTAACTGGGTTGTTCAGGAAGGTGTGGGAGACAGAGAGTGTACCATCAATGTGGAACGAAGCCATTATCGTCCCCATTTTAAAAAGGGTCGACGTAATTCGTGTGACAATCATAGGGGTATCAGTCTGTTACCAGTCGCGTCTAAAATATTGGCTGCTGTCTTGCTTCGCAGACTGTGCAAAATACGTGAAGGATTGATTCGCGAAGAGCAGGCTGGGTTTCGTTCAGGTCGTGGATGCATTGATCATGTGTTCACTCTTCGTCAGTTGTTGGAACACCGCCACACGTATTGCAGGCCAACGATCGTTGTGTTTCTTGATATTAGGGCTGCCTTCGATTCGTTGGACAGAACTGTGCTCTGGAACTGTCTGTTAGAGAGAGGTGTACCTGAGAAATTTGTTAACATCTTGAAAGCCCTATACAGAAACACCTCAGGTAGAGTGAGGGCATACAACCAACTATCACCACTGTTCCCAACCAACAGTGGGGTTAGACAGGGTTGCCCAATCTCTCCATTTCTCTTTAACTTTGCCATCGATGACATTTTGGAGTCAGCTCTGAAGGATGTGCGTGAAGGTGGTGTAGATCTGCTACCTGGAGATAGACTTTTCGACCTCGAGTATGCAGACGATATCGTCTTACTGTGCGATAGCATGCAGGCTGCCCAAATCGCACTTAATCAGTTGGCGATCAGTGTCTGTAAGTATGGTATGTGCTTTGCGCCGTCTAAGTGCAAAGTACTGTTACAAGATTGGCAGGAGCCTGTACCTGCACTCACTTTTGCAGGTGAACCGCTTGAAGTTGTTGATAAGTTTGTGTACCTGGGTAGTTGTGTGAGTGCTGGCGGAGGGGTGACGGATGAGATTTCCAACCGTATAATGAAGGCTAGGGTGGCATACATCAACTTGAGCCACCTCTGGCGCCGTCGCGACGTTAGCCTGGCTGTCAAAGGTCGGGTATACAATGCTTCGGTGCGGGCTGCCTGCTCTACGCCTGTGAAACCTGGCCTCTCCGAGCTGAGGATGTGCGGCGACTCTGCGTGTTCGATCGCCGCTGTCTCCGCAGGATTGCTTGCGTTCGATGGCATCATCGCGTGAGTAATTCTGAGGTTCGGCGGCGTGTGTTTGAACACAATGGAGATCACCATTCATTGAGTGTTGTCATCTGGAAACACCGGCTCCGGTGGCTTGGACATGTGCTACGAATGTCATCCAGAGGCTTCCGTACAGGTCTCTGTTCGCTAGCCCTGGGACGGGATGGAAAAGGCGGGGGCGGGGTTGGTCAGTCCATGACGTGGCGTCGTGGGATGAAGGATTTTTGTGCTAGATTAGCATCGGTTGGTGTGTCACGACTCCCTGGTTGGGGTCCGAGAGATAGCTCAAATCGATGGCTCGAAACGTTATCGGATATGGCCAAGAATCGTAATCAATGGCGAAGGTGTTGCAATTTCCTTGTTTCTTCCCTTCCCGATGATAGTTAACGAACACTGTTTGAACTTGTTAAGCATGACTGTTTTCTTTCCAGATGAAGTTCTGTATCCGCTCTCTACTTATATATATATATATTTCTTTTCCTTCCTGCCTTTTTTTGATCTATGTTGTTTTATTATTATTGTGTGGCGCATCCTTCCTGGTGCCATATTGTACCAAGTTTTTTATGCGTTTAAATAAATAAATAAATATATGAGTGGGCTCATCCTTTTGAGGAAGGTACTGATTGAAGATGGATATCCGTCCCCTCTACCACCATGCATCATAGATACATACATAAGCCCGAAAACCAACGAAGAAAACCACAATACTGTGCTACACCTGAATATGGCGTTCAAAGGCGATCTCATGACCAACAGGCGGCAAAAGTGAATATTAAATGCCCTGAAAACAGCATTCTTTGCTTCTATATTAAGACCACCAGTATTCCGTTGCCGCCTAATTTCTCCAATATCTCTGTCGCATCTCACGACTTCTATGTGTATCCATCAATTCAATGCGTGTTTTATCTAAAAGACACAATGATTATTATTCTACTTTACTACAGAATGGTCACAACGGATCAATAAGGAGAGAACATATATTCAGTAGATACAAAGTCAGAAAAATCCTCCTGAAAAACTTTACACTTCTGCATTGCCGAGGCGATTCGGATGAAAAACGCTGATGAATAATGAATTTATGAATCTTACAATGTGCAGACTGAAAATATTTTTTGCTCTTGTTTTAGATACCTACAACTAGTATGGAAAATACAAATACACATAGAATCAACGTGAACAACACTGGCAATAATAATAATAACAATAATGAGTCTTATTCACGAGTACCATGTGAAACTGACACACTTGTGAGGCAGCCAGTTGATCGTTGGAGGGAGTTACAAGTAAGATTTTGTTTTCTTTCAATGTTCCATGCCTGTTATTTTCTCAAAAAGTCAGATTTTCAAGTATTGGTTTTGTAGGGATTTTGTTTGATTGCATGGAGGATTTCACCATGAGCTGACATCAGTTAAAGAACCACTGGGAAAGAGGACATTGCGAAGTGGTCGCGCTATGTCGTGAATGGGCAGAAGTTAGAGTTCAAGGACCATTGGATTGGGTCCCAGTGGCTCAATGGTCTACGAGCTCGCCTTGTAACCAGAAGGTGTTGGGTTCGAAACTCGGTGAGTGCGTACTGATGAAGAGTCCTAATCTAGGGCGAAACAGCTGTCTAGTACTCCCAGCTGGTTTCCCAGTGGTTCTCTAACCGATGTCAGCTCATGGTTAAATCCTCCATGCAATCAAAAAGTCAGATAACAAAAATAGTACATGCCTTATTTATTTCTTATGTCTAAAATGATCATTGTGTCGTCAGGAGAATTACTCACCAAAAAAGGACTCTTGCATGATCCTCATGTACTACTGATTAGTGATGATGATGATGATGATATGAATAATTGGATATCACTGACACGTCAAACATTTGTTCATGCTAGCTGTTTCGTTCATTAGATGTCGAGCTCATCAACTAGGGGGGGGGAGTTTCACGTCAAATTCTCCAACGTGTATTACCATTTCGTTCAAGTAGCTGGACAGAATTTATGTGGTTTGAGCTGATTCAGCTCTCTAAACTGAGTAAAACTCGTGTTACACCTCTGAAGAACTCCGCCTGCAACGAGCAACATAGCTGTACGGTGTTTAGATCATTGATATAAGAATAAAACTTGTGCACTGTGGTATAGTACAGTTCCATTATGGGTAAAATGTGTTTTGGTAAAGTCTCACAGTGTTATACAGTAATGTTTGCTAATGACATTTCAAGCACAGTTTATTGCTCATAATCAAATCAAGGTACTCACACAACTTTCTAACTTCGTTTGTATAATTCCATCATTATTTTTCATCGCTTGACTTGATTGGTAGTAGTATTTTCCATATTTCCGGTAGGAATGATGAGGTATTGCTATTAAGCGTATTGGGTATTGATTCTATGAACCAAAATTCAGTAATCAACCTCTTTCTCCATCTACATAGATTACTTCTTAGAATCTTAGCCCTTTCTCCTATTGTTTGGTTGTGTGTTAATGCATGCAGCGCAATTGCTGAGCTTTTTTCCAAATTATTTATCTTCTAGAGGTCAACCATTCTTGCCTTAGATAAATTCTTATATCCTAACAATCTGACTACCCCTGGCTTACTAGTTTGACTTATGTAGATCACTTTGATAATCCGGCTGCTTGATGTGAACAGCATCGAACTACTTATACCGATCAATCAGTAGCATATGGCATCATTCACTTATGTTTTTTTATTGACTATCATTTATAGTATCTAGCATATCATATATTACAATGTGAATAATTTCGGTTTCCGAAGGAAACACTGGTGGAATTTGATCTTGAACTGTGGAAATTACAAATTGCAAATTTGTCGAAAGACTCTTCAGTGAATGTATTATTAAGACCTAATTTAATTCGTATGCTTTTGGAAGTGTGTGAGTGGTTGTTACTAACAGGCTGCCCACATTGTGAAAGTTGATTCTCTCTTGAGTTGTCTGAAAGAAACAGAAAGAGAATTAGTGTTCCGTGACCGCAGAGCCCAAGGGACACCTGCTTGAGGCCGGTCACACATAGTCTGTATGAATTGGATTTTAGAGTTGTCTTCGTATGAGTAACTGATCATCGGCCATAGGTTGCCGTAGAGTAAGTCGGGATGTACAATTTTTTGGGTCGACTTTTTCTAACCCGCCACCTCTTGAAGAGAGTGGAGGGACAGCATAGCTGGCCTGCTGGTTGCCTGAGGGAAACACCTTACTGCTGTTACGTCCCTGTTCCATAGTAGTAGGACTTTGCTTACAGACCTCCCCCCCCCAACACATAGTGTGAACGTCTTACATCACGCCAGTAATCGCTTTTATTCTAATCGCTTTCATTGTGATATACCAGACCGACCACCACGTCAATGTAGCAGCTATTGATCGGGATTATTAATACCATATGGATGGTAGTTGAATGAGGTCTGGTGATACTACGTGACCGCTCAAACCTCATTAAGCGAAGTGGGTAGTTTAAGCTCGTCAACTACTGGTCGCCGCCTACTTTGTGCTCAGTGGAGTGAGTTACAGCGCCACCATCTGATTACAATTATAAATGGATCTTTCGGATGCACTGATCGTATATGTAGCGTGTGTCTGAATCGTATATTGCTATGTTCCACTCACTCAAGATTACAACTATTGATATATTAAATTCAAATCAGACTGTAGTTTATGTTTTGCTCTTAAGTTTCACTGATACCGAAATACTGACGTAAACTGATTATAATTGAAATCGTATGATGAAGCAAAAAGCATATTTTGTTCATTGCTCATTTGGTTGTATATGTATGCAATTATAGTTATGTATACACACACACATTTTGGGTGTGAATAACTGTCAGAAATGGAATATGACCCAAATTATGAGGTACAAGGAAGCCTGTGCTTAGTAATTCAGTCTCAATTTCAAGTGACTGCCTAGTCACGTAGACTGAAGTAGATGTGGTGGCATAAGAATCCCACACCCCATTTACTGATGAAAGTCAACTGCTTAAGACAGTAAGCCCCATCTTCACTCCATTAATTGTTGATTACTTGCAGAAATAACTTAATATTCTCCTTACTTTTCAATTTTTCATTGTGTCTTTACATTTTACATTTTGTTTATTCTCTCAGGCGGATCTAATTGACCGTGATTCAAAAGGTGTTAAACTTGGTCTTGGCGATTTTGTATTTTACAGTCTACTAATTGGTCGTGCAACATTGGACGGTGATGCTGTCACTGTGATCACATGTTATGTAGCTATATTAGTTGGCATGTGTATCACTATCATTGTGTTGGGGATAACACGACAAGCCCTACCAGCCTTACCAATATCTATTGCATGCGGGATATTATTTTATTTCGTCAGTTCAGCGACAATATCACCATTTCTTGAAGCGACAGCCAGTCAACGTGTATTTTTCTAAGCTTTATTGCTACTAATATTATCATTATTGTTGTTATTACCTAATTATTATATGCCATTTCTCAACAATGTTCTCACATCATGACTGTGACCATCCAACACTCGTCATGCGCCCATAAACTTCAATGCAATGTTCAGTGTTAATCTGTAATAAATCTGTTTCACATTATAATAAAACTTTTTGTATTTCCCCAATGAATGAAAAACAAAGCGATATTGTTTTCACTGACGTTTTGCTATTTAATGCTGCCGCTAACAGCTTTATCAAAGTAGTACTACTAAACCAGAATTTACAGTCTCTCAGCTTATATATAACAACTTAATCATCGTCCATCAGCATGGGGTCATTTTTGCGTTGTCAAATTGACCAATTGGTAAAGGTAACAAAACCAGGTGTAGATTGTTGGATTTGATAAATAAGTGTGTAAAATTATAATTATAGAAGCAGAGTGTGTTTACATAATGAAATTGGTTATCACATTTGTGTTGATTTTGTCATTGCATGGAGGAGCGGGGTGGGTGTTGCAACCAGGTTAAATTCTGTTTTAGTCCATCATTCGTATTCAGACAATTTGGATTCCATTTAATCTGGGTGTCGTAAATTCCCAAAACCCAAACGTTATTTGCCCTAGCACGTCCTCGATTGTACTTCTTCTTATAAGCACTGTTTCATCGATATGAACAACGACACCCACTCCTCCAACACTTTTATTACTTGTGTAATACAAGGCTAAGGTCACTTGTGCGTTCGCATCCCTTGGGACGCTATTGTAGAACTTTGCCGCTGGTACCACTGAACTGTTGAGACGAGGCTATTTTCCGTTTCAGCAGTTGCGGCTCTCACCGGCTGTTTTAAAACCCAGTAGTTGCAAATATACAAAATCTACGTCAAGGAGAGATGCCAACTTGCAAAAAGTTCCTACGAAATATTAAAATTATCAGCTTACCTTCTCTAATGCTAACTCGTCTCAAACAAATTGCACAACGATGGACGTATCCATTAGTCGACCTGCTAAAGCGTTTTAAACTCATCACACCATCTCACACGAACAAATCCTTTCCTTCGTAAGCAACCCCAAATCCAGGCAATACTGAAAAACATTATCCTCCTCGAACTGCAACGGTAACTTCGTCAGAGTACGCATTTGAAACTAATCAAGCACTATACAACATTGAACTCACGTTCATGAATCTCATTGGACAATTCGACGTCGTTCACTGATTGGTAGTTAGTGATGCTTAAAGTTTAACTTGGTCCAAAATCAGAAGAAATGAACACTGTAGAGCATCTGTTCGACAAACCACGAAGAAATCCAGTTGAACCAGAAAGGCTTGAAAAATCATCGGCCATAGCTCGTCTACACGCTATAGAATCAGGTCATAAAATTGATTTTGACAATATTGAAATAATCCAGAAAAAGCATTTCAGAAATCACAAAGAACGTCTAATTTCATCAGAATCACTTCATATTATCAAATGGAATCCAAATTGTCTGAATACGAATGATTGAGTAAAACAGAATTTAACCTGGTTGCAACACCCACCCCGCTCCTCCATGCAATGACAAAATCAACACAAATGTGATAACCAATTTCATTATGTAAACACACTCTGCTTCTATAATTATAATTTTACACACTTATTTATCAAATCCAACAATCTACACCTGGTTTTGTTACCTTTACCAATTGGTCAATTTGACAACGCAAAAATGACCCCATGCTGATGGACGATGATTAAGTTGTTATATATAAGCTGAGAGACTGTAAATTCTGGTTTAGTAGTACTACTTTGATAAAGCTGTTAGCGGCAGCATTAAATAGCAAAACGTCAGTGAAAACAATATCGCTTTGTTTTTCATTCATTGGGGAAATACAAAAACCCTTATTTTATTGAATATCATGTACCTTGTGCCTAATTTTTTCAAACTGTTTAACGTGAAGTTGGTCATATGTAAATCTTTTACTGAACCGAAATGTGATTGCGCATTTTAATCATTGAGAACGCACTTTTTGCACTGGGGAATAGAGCATATTCGTCGAGGAATATGGATTATTCATTTTCTGTCGGTTTCTTTTCACGATATATATATATATATATATATATATATATATGTATAGCTGGTTCCGCGATTAACCATTAACTTTCATATGTTATTCACATGACCTCTATGTCACAGTCTGATGCCCAGTTATTCGTTTTCCATTGAGTTCTACTCAGCAGTCTAGCTCGAGTTGTCATTCAGTCGACTTTTTATCATGTGTCCAATGGATTTGTACTTTTTTTGACCTGGAGTTCATTGTTGCCAATCCTTTCATAATGGCCGTCTAATCTCCAGTTCTGAGCATGCGAAGGCAGCTGTTAGTGTAAAAGTCTGAAGCTTATTTGAAGTGCTTTTGGTGATAGACCAACCAGTCGTTCTAAACCATAAAGAAGAAATGACTTGGCATTAGTATTGAAAATCAAAATCGTGTTCTTTTTACTGAGTATTGTTGATTTCCAGTTTACGTTGAGATTAACGAAGTTTTTTTTTCACTTTCGTATCCTTGCTTTAACATATTCCCCGTGTCACCTATAGTTGGAACGATACTATCGAGAAAAGTGAAAGACGTGTGACCTCTTTCAAATTTATCCCGTTGACAGTGATTGGTACTGTTTGTTGTTGTTGTTGTCGGTTGATTAACTTCATCACCTCTGTCTTCTCTATGTTCACTTGATAGGCATGTCTTTGGTGTTTATTCCGCCAACTTTATTGATTGTCACTTGTAGATCTTTGAGTTTGTCTAACATTAGACATAAATCGTCCACGAAGTTCATATCTTCTAGATTCCTATCGGTCTAGCGTATTCCTGTGTTCCCACTCCCTACTATCTGCCACATAATCCAGTGCAGCACAAGCGAGAATACCATTAGTCATGGTAGGTGGTAGCCTTGTCTTATTCCTGTCTTCATTTCAAATGTGTCACTGAGTTTTTCACTTTTCAATCACTCGATACGATATGTGATATTATCATGTAGCTGCTGTATGAGATTTTCAACAAGGTATTACATCATCAGTAATTTGTAAAATAATAATGACTATGAAGAATAGATGAAAGAGTTGAGTAAAAATAACAAGACACATGTAGATTAACTGAATTAGCTAGATGAGTAATCATAATAAAACCGACAATGTCATACGATAGTTACAAAACTAAGGATGAGTCATTTCATATTACGTAAACGGCCACAACACACAGGTTTGGCTTGTTCAGATGAATTCAGATTTCCCTTGCTGTACGTAAAAGTCATACTTGTAGAGCATACAAAAGGTTGTGTGAAATACAATAATAAAGGCTCTGTTAGTGTTGACTTGATGTCCTGTATCGATGTGATGAGCTAATATTGAACTACATATGGCATTATTCGTTCTTTTGCCTAACCAAGATGGACGATTGGTAATCGGAAATTCGACAGTGAACTTACCTAGTTGTATACAGCTAAGTCATACTGTCTATTCACCAGCCAACAATGCGTCAGAGTTTTGAAATTAGTTTGATATGGTAATGAATACTGTGAAATGTCTCCAGGTACGTAATAAATTTAACTGACTGACTGACTGGTTTCAACGTAGAACTTTGCACAGGTGTGCACTAGTTCGGGTTGCCACACTCCCTCCTTGTAGTACACAAAACAAGAGAAGAGAAATTTAAAAGGGAGATAATAAACAGAAGTGTGAGTGAGAGGAAAAGAATAGTAGTATGGAAGAACAATAGAATTTTATTTGTTATTATAAATGCATCTGCGCTATTGAGAACGATGATTTCGAATCATAACACCTATTGTCTCCAGCCTTCATTGTTTCCTACCATCTCGAGGACCCCAACCAGGATGTCTATACCTCCCTAAGTGGGGATGGCTGGCTTAAACTAGCTGTTATGGATTCAGTTGAGTGGTAAAGCCATGTCTTGGTTCGACCACCACTTTTCCAACCTGATACAGCCTATGCCAGCTAACACTGCCTGTCATCGAGGAAGGCGATGGCTAGGCATACGTAACACACAATCGAACCATCTCAATCGGTGTAATTTCACAGCCTCGTCGATTGATTTTCCCTCCCATCTACCTAGCAGTCGACCTATGCCTAACCTCAATATTGCTCACCTTATTATACCACTTCACACGGGAGACAGAAAACTTGTTGATGGCTTTAATAAAACCTTTACTTAGCTATACTGGTTGGTGTGATGTCGCCGAGCATTAGAAATTAGGTTCATTAATCAGTCTTTGAAATTTTTAATGAGTATCTTCAATGAATTTAAAAATAGATTTTCTTCAGAGAATATTTGAATACTTGTTATCTGAAAGCATCCCATAAATTATTTTTATTTATTTAAACGCAAAAAAACTTAGTACAATGTGGTACTAAGAAGATGTGCAGTAATGATGAAATAACATAGATTAAAAGTAAAAATGTAGGTAGAGAACGGATAAAGTACCTCATCTGGAAGGAAAACAGTTATATTTAACAAGTTCAAACAGCATTCACCAAATATCATCGAAAGGGAGGAAAGAAGGAAATTGTAGCACGTTCGCCATTGATTGCGATAACGTTTTGAGCCACTGGTTCGAGCGATCTCTCTCGCACTCCAACCAGGGAGTAGTGACGCACCAGTCGATGCTAACCCAACATAAATATCCTTCATCCCATGACGCCACGTCATGAGCTGACCAACTCTCTGTTTTTTTCCATCCCGATCCAGGACTAGCGATCAGAGACCTGTACGGAAGTCTCTTGGATGATATTCGCAGCACATATCCCAGTCACCGAACCTGGTGTTTCCAGATGACAACACTCAATGAATGGTGATCTCCAGTGTGTTCAAACACAACCCGCTGGGCCTCAGAATTACTCACACGACTATACCATTGAACGCAAGCAATACTGCGGAGACAACGGTGATCGAATACGCAGAGCCGCCGCACATCCTCAGCTCGGGGGGGGGGCAAGTTTCACAGGCGTAGAGAGCGCAGCACACACCGAAGCATTGTATACCCGACATTAACTGCCAAGCTAACGTCTCGACGGTGCTAGAAGTGGCTCAATTTGATGTATGCCGCCCTAGCCTTCATTATACGGCTGGAAATCTCATCCGACAGTACTCACACAACTATCCTGATACACAAACTTATCAACAACTTCAAGCGGTTCACCTGCCATAGTGAATGCAGCTACAAGCTCCTGCCTATCTTTTAACAGTACTTTGCACTTAGACGGCGTAAAGCACATACCATACGTACAGACACTGATCGGCAACTGATTAAGGGGCAGTTTGGGCAGCCTGACATACCTACAAGCATTCCATGAAAATATATAAATAATTTATAAGTATATTCAGAGTATCTTTTAGTAGGCTGAATAGGTTTATCCGTTGAATTTACTTTTTGATATATTATCGTTCATATTGTAGATGAAAAACCGAATGATAAGATGTAGGAATTACACTGCTGATGAAATAGATATCAGATGATAAGGAAAACAAGAAGTATAAATGCATTTCAAAGTAAAACTTGGACATTATTTTGAAGTATCGGGATACAACTGCATACTTGTTTACTTGAAATCATGTAATCCAGTCGAATAACTGGTCAAATTTCTCTATTCTGTAATGTTCAAAACAGTATTACGGCTAACTGGCGACAAGCTAGTCTACAAGCTGACATGTAAAACATTCACTATGGGTGGTAGCTAATACATTTAATGTGTATGCGGCGTGTCAACTACATGAATGCTTTTATGAAGATGATTTTCAAGTCAGAAAATGAAAATATCATGTTTTGTGAATTCTTGTTGATAAATAAACTGGATCAAATTGATCCAGCCTCATTTTTGGATGTAGACTCTTTGAACTGGTGGCTCGTAATTACCAGGATTACTAAAGTATGAATTAATTGATATAAGTATAAAACTTGGACACTGTGGTAGAGTATAACTCCATTATAGATAAATTTGATAAGTCACGCAGTGTTGTTCAGTAATATTAACTGATGACAACGTTTCGAACACAATTTATTACCGCTCATAATCATATCAAAGTACTCACACAACTTTCTTGCTTCATATATATGCATGAGTAAAAATTGATGATTAGACATTTGAATAGTAACCAATATAAGACAAAGTACATTCGAAAGTAATATATATATATATATATATCATATTATATAATAATATTTATTATTATATTATAATATACGTAGGATTCTCAATAAAGCAGGAATTAGGGTGGCATTCAAACCTACAAACTCACTCAGAAAGAACGAGCTCTGTAGGCTAAAGGACCCGGTGAACCCAATTAAACAAAATAATATTATTTACAAAATACCTTGCAATGACTGTGAGTGAGTTAAGTCAACTACATAGGTCAAACTAGTAGATCAGGAGTAGTGCGATTATCAGAATATAAGAATTTAGCTAAGTTTAGAATGATTGATTCCACGAAGATAAGGAATGTAGGAAAAAACTCAGCAATCGCGTTGTATGGTTTAACACACAACCACATAATAGTGTGGTGAGAGCAGGCCGTGAGAAAATATGAGCAAGGCTGATTCAACAACCAATCACAGCAAAGTTAACGTGGCAAAATATGATTCGCAGATAGAGAACTATTTGTCGAGGAATCCCGAAACAACCAATCAGAAGCCTGCGTTTGTCTGCCTAACTTCTGATAAACAACCAATCAGATGACTGCGCTTGTCTACTTGCATAAGCTGTAATAATGTATGTGAAATATATATAAATACGTGTTGATTTTCATAATGAAACGATCTGTTGCCAGCCCTTGTCTTCTGTTGTTACAATAGGGTGGGACAGAGTCAAAATTCTAAAAAGTATTATGGGTAGGTGCAGAGAGGGAGAGGCTGATCACTGAATGCTGATTCATCGAGTCTACACCCAACCCAACACATGCAATACAGGTGACTCAACGCAGATACAAGAGATATGGAAGATTTTATTACCAGTCAAATCAGAGATCGATGAGTAATGTTAAAGTGTATTTCAATGCACATTATAACATTCTAACAAGTTACTTATTTTTACTGTTAAAAACATCTTATATCTCATCTTAAT